GACATTTACTCCGATTTAGGTGCAAGTGTACCAAATACGAGTTTATGTATCTCCCGTCCTAAGAGGGGTGTCCCTTGACGTCATCTCCAACGAAGAGTGCGCCGTTAGGTATATCCTCGTGAGAACGTCCAATATCTGTACCTCCGGAGTGGGTGAGTCTACTCCTCTTTCCTTTCTGTAAAAAATTGTAACTACCTATTTCTGTAGGGGTGGTAGGTGCTTGTAACAGTGATTCAGGCAGTCCCCTGGTGGTCGACGGGGTCCAAGTGGGTATCGTGTCCTTCGGTTCGGGAAGTTGCGTTGATGAGAGCCCCACGGGATTCACTACAGTCAGTTCCTTCAGGGAGTGGATACGACTGAAGGCTGGAGTTTAATTTGTAATTGTAATATATGGTAGAATGTGGAAAGTTGAAACAATACACGAATGTAAATCAATCAAGTGTTTATTCTTTGTATTCAGTAGTTCTAATCTAATCTACCGGTTTACTGGAACGGATGTTGATATCACACTTTTTAGATTCAGGGTTAGATAAAATAGGTATTTTTTTAACTCTTTAATTTTTTTTAGGAGGTTTAAGTTTGCAATGCAAGTAACAAACATTAAAAAAGTTCTTGCGTCTTCTAAAGACCAGTTTTATTATCAATAATTTGAGGTTTGCTTATTTCTAATATTTATCTCTTTTTTAATAATAATAATACTGCCCCACAAACAAGAATCTACACAACGACATGAGTACATAGATTGTGTGTATTTTTTTTATGCTGAATCCGAATCGGCCCAAAAACCGATTTACCAAGTAATTTTTTAATAAAAATCCCTTAAATTTGGGTGAAACCACCAACAGACCAGAGTCCTACTTACCCCTTTAAGTCATACATTTCTCCATTCAATATTTTTGCCTGAATTTTGTTACCGCGGATTTTTGGGGTCGCTGATTACGAATTTGAAGTTCAGATCCGAAAATTCCTGAATAAAAGATGGGGGATCCAATATGGCGAATGTAAAAATCGGAAAAGCATTCAGAATTTCAAGATTACGCTGAAACTTGTTACTCGTTGGCTTTCAAAGTCGCCAATCACGAATATAAAGTACAGAAAAGTTCACTCAATTTTACACAAAATGTATCAATTTGTGTCCACACCCGATCGAGTGAAATTTTCACTTATAATCTCCCTAGTGCTTGAATTATTACCGGACATTTTTCCGAAGGAACGCATTTTTTGAAAATTTTCTAGAAAAATGCGTGATTGAGGAAAAATTTCCGGACATTAATTCAAGGACGTGGGGGTTTCGGTAAGAAAATTGTACAACCAAAATTTATTTTAAAAATTTGACATGTTTCATTTGGAAACTTATTTCGCCAAAATAAAGTTGGCTTGACATTGTTTTGTGGTGCATGACATATTTTTAATGGTTCTTAATAAAACATAAAAAACAATACGTTCCTTTCACTTTAGTAATAAATGAGACATTTAATTTTTTAATTCAAATATTTACCTTTGCAATACACTTAGTATTACTAAAATAGAAGGAAAGTAAGTTTTTGTAGAAAAGCAATGTCTGTGGCAGTTTATCAAAGATTCTTATTAAAACATAAAAAAAAACATTCCTTTCATTTTACTAATAAAAAAGGCATTTAATTTTTTAATTCAGATATTTATGTTTGCAGTATAACTCACTTAGTATTACCATTGTATAAGTAAATAAAACAGCGCATTGCATTCACTTTAGTAATGAAAAAGGCATTTAATTTTTGAATTCAGACATATTTACTGACAAAAACTGGAATCAAGAAAACCTTTTCGCAGCTATTCAAAAGATTTTGGAGGAAGATATCCCTTCATTTTTACGTAAAACCAGGGCTCAGCACAACAAAATTTCATCAAATTATTACATATATTTTATGAAACACAGACATCTGATGGAAATGAAAAATAAAGGTAATAATTATACTGCTCGTTACTATCCGTTGCGAAGAGAAGAGTTCCAGACGGAATTTCAAAAACATTTAGCGTTAATAGAAGAAATTTCGGAACAAATATTTGGTAAATAATAATTTGTATCTATTTATTATTTTAAAATAAATAAAAACATTAAAGAGCAAAATTCTGGATAAGTATTTGATGATTTTTGAACCATATGATAGATGTCAAAAAAAATGTCCACTTATTAATTTTGTTTGCCTGGCTTGGCAGGAGGAAAAAAATTTCCGAAAAATTTGAAGGTTGCCATGGGCAACTGTCGAAATTACAGTATGTAATTGGCTTAAAATGACAGGTGTAAAATTTTCACTCTATTAGTATGAGTACAACTAATATTTTGTTAAGTGAAACTATTTCAACAGAAGTGAGTGAATTTCACTCAAATCCAAGTTTCTGCTAACATCAAGTGAGTGACTTTTGAGTCTATTCTTATTGTAAATCACCCTGTATTTAAATTTTAGTTTAAATATTATATTAAAGTCAAAGTACTAAGCTGCCACAGTGGTGTTTACACGGATATGTTTTACACACAACATTTTAGGTCGCGATTAAGGGAATTGGTTAACTGATCGAACGAATAGACTGCCATAACCTATATTAAACGTTACAGATACGTAACATTAAACTACTCGTTTAGTTAACCAAATATTGTTTTTAATTATTGTAATCAAACCACTGCATTTAAACGTAATTTTCACCAAAATAACCGGACACTTGTCCAGCACTACACGCCATACACCACGTCACGAGATGATCTAATGGGGACGATGGGAATAGACAAAGACAACGCACTACAACCATAGAATGGGGTGAGGTCCCACAATAATGAAATGAGGACATTTACTCCGATTTAGGTGCAAGTGTACCAAATACGAGTTTATCTGGAGAACTAACTTAACAGGTACCTATTTTTGAGTGAAAGTACTCAGGTTTAGTTCAAATATTGTCACAATAGTTAATGGATTCTCTCCGTACCTTTACTGCTTTCACACACTCCGATTTTTTGACATCACAAAATGGGTAAAATTATAGACCTAAAAATGTAAATGTGATAATTGAAGTAGAATTATTAAGTGATAGATATGAGACACGTAACGAACTTTTCCAGCAGATATCCGACACGGTGTACTTAGAAAACTTTGCATAGAACAAACATGGGATTTTTTAATATCTTGAAACATAAAAAGTCGGATTAAAAAATTGATTGATTGATTTACTCGTTCAAGGATTTTAAGAACAAAGTATCGCGAGAAGTATGTGCATTATACAAAATAGATAATGAGTTATCTATTATCCCTTTACAGATATTAACCGTCGTTTATAAAAGTTACAACCGTTCGGAGGCCTGCACCTGTGACCAAAGGTATCTCCGAAGATGAAGTTCGCGTTGTGTTTCTTGGCTATCGTCTCCTGGGCTGCGGCTATGCCCGCGGAAGTCTCTTTCGATGCGCTCGAGGGGGTAAGTATCGTTTTCTTATTCGTAATTTTGAAGCGGTTTTAAGTTTGAAAGTTCTAATATTAAGTTTTGTTGTAAACTTGGTAAAATTTTTACTGAAACGTTTCTATTGATGAACCAAATTTATGCGACGATTGTTTATCTCGTGGCAGAGATCATGGGTGGTATAGTCTTTCCAGTCTCATTTGAAGAACCAAGAGGTTGGCAGTAGGTATGTACCATATACAGATCTGGCCGCTCAACTGAAGAATGAGCGCGCGAGCAAACGCGGCACAAACGTAGCCGCACTGGGTGACGTGGCCATAAATTCAGTTGTCAACAAATAACCCAGCAGTGCAGCAGTGCAGTGCAGCAATCGCTGTACTAAGTCGAAAGTGGATCATTTTGAATAAATAAATCGGTTTTGCCAAAAAAACTATTTTTGTTCTTATCTTCAAATGTCTTGTTTACTTTGTAACACACCTTAGAATCACCCCGTATGACCTTCGCGATAAGTAAATATTTCTTGTTTCAGCTTGAGCTGGTCCCAAACAACATCTACAAGGAACCCATCAACCCAGCAAAGCCCGAAGACCTGCCTGCATCTAGGGTCATTGGTGGTGTGGAGGTGGCGCCCAATTCTATCCCCTACCAAGTCGCGATTGTCATCAACGGTCTCAGCTTCTGCGGGGGCTCCCTGATCTCCACCAACCGTGTCTTGACTGCCGCTCACTGCACCGTCAGGTAATTCTCTTGATCAGCAGGAATCATCTCCAGAGCTGTCACAAATTTTCATCCAGACATCTAGACGCATTCATTTAATTTATAACGCGTTTTCACGTTTTCCGTTAAACACTTAATCTTCTAAGTATGTGGTGAAAAAAGTCAGGTTAATATCAACCTCCTTTTTCATGTAACATATATATTTTTCCCTGTAACATTGAAAGTAAGCCCTAAATCAAAAAAGTCATTCTTTATTTTTTGTTTATTTGACGATTGCGAATCAAAAAAGTTGAATTTTGCATTAGCAATGGACGAAAAATAGTAGAAAATCATATGTACATTTGGAGCAATTTTTAAAATAAGTAAATATTTATAAATAATGATGAAGCTTTATGAACAAATAGTAAAATATAAACTAATGGAAAAAATTAAGGATCAAAAAAAAAATCTAAATTTTCGGCGATTATTCAAATGGCTGTATCTTTGATAAAAATGGTCGTATTGGACTAAAAAAAAAAGAAAGCAATTTGAAGCTTAATGTTTCTCATTATTGGATCTTGCAAAAAAAAATTCAAGTAACACGTATCGCGCAATCTTAATGAATATCATGGAAAAAAATTTTTCGAAATTTTTTTCGATCATATTTTTGGTGTACGGACTTGAAAAAAAATTTTCCAAATTAACCACCTTATGGATTAGATAGGTTGTTCATTTAGCTTCAATTCCTTTTTTTTTTTGTCTCGATACGACCATTTCTCGCTGATCTATCGGACTTTGAATGAAAATGGTTCATTTTCTCTTTGTTCATCGATATCTCAGGAACCAATGGTTGCACAGAAAATCGACGGTGGGTTTCAGAAACTTGAATGAATTCTCTACAAGGTCCTGGCACGGTTTTTTAGAAAAAAAAATAATTTTATCCTTAACATGATTGAAAAATCGTAAAAAATAGGATTTTTAGGGGTCTTCTAGAAAATCACGTGCCACATTGAGAATATTGGGAAAATGACTAAGCCCTACAGAGTTTCAATTCGATCCAGCAAGCCGTTTTTTTGTTTCATTCGATTGAATTTTATAAAAAATTAAAGGATCACGTTTTTTTTGCCTTTAAATGCTTTGTAAAAAAATTAATAAAACATTTTTTCCTGATTTTTTTTACGTTCTTATTGCAGAAAGCGTTTGCAATTATGAAAAAAAAAATAAATTTATTCGAAAAAAAATTTTTTTTATTTTTTTTTCAGAAATTTCGCAAAACTGCCGGCATTAGCGTTACCCAAAGCGTACCACGTGGAGGTCGCACGGTCGTATTTACGCTTCTTTTACACACGTGCGAAAGGCGTTTGAAGTTATGACAAAAAAAAAATTTTTTTTAATTTTTTGAAAAATGTTTTCGTTGCATTCACTCCTGAAAATTTATCTCAGTAATCCTCAAGCATTTCCGACACGATTCCCCTACTTCATTTCGTGATTATGCTGACCGAATTTTAATTAAATTTAAAAAAGTTGATACCCCTAACCGAATACTGACCTCGGTCTACACCCTTTTCAGAGATTATTGCTGCGATACTTCTGAATTCATAAAACGCTTTTTCCGAATTTACACAACACTAAAACAAATAGTTTTTTTCAAACCACCTTTTTTCAGTAGAAAAAAAATTGAATAAACATAACTTCAAACGCTTTTCGTACGTGTGTAAAAGCGTAAATCCGACAGTGATACGCTTTGGGTAACGCTAATGCCGGCGGTTATGCGAAATTTCTGAAAAAAAAAAAATTTTAAAAATTCTTTTTTCGAATTTTTTTTTTCATGATTTCAAACGTTTTCTGCAATAAGAATGTAAAGCAAATCAGGAAAAAAAATGTTTTTTTTCATTTTTTTACGGATTATGAGCATTTAAAGGCAAAAAAACGTGATCCTTTAATTTTTTTAAAAATTCAATCGAATGAAACAAAAAAACGGCTTTATGGATCGAATTGAAACTCTGTAGGGCTTTTAGGGGTACAATGACCTGTAAAAGGCATATTTAACATTTCAAAAGTTCAGTCATGTTAAGGATAAAAAAAATTTTTTTTCTAAAAAACCGTGCCAGGACCTTGTAGAGAATTCATTCAAGTTTCTGAAACCCACCGTCGATTTTCTGTGCAACCATTGGTTTCTGAGATATCGATGAACAAAGAGAAAATGATCAATTTTCATTCAAAGTTAGATAGCTCAGCGAGAAATGGTCGTATCGAGACAAAAAAAAAGAAATTGAAGCTAAATGAACAACCTATCAAATCAAATAGGGTGGTTAAATTGGAAAAAATTTTTTCAAGTCCGTACACCAAAAATAAGATCGAAAAAAATTTCGAAAAATTTTTTTTCATGATATTCATTCAAGATTACACGATACGCGTTACTTGAATTTTTTTTTTTTGCAAGATCCAAAAATTAGAAACTTCAAGCTTCAAATTGCTTTTTTTACTCCAATACCATTTTTGTCAAAGATACAGCCATTTGAAAAATCGCCGAAAATTTAGATTTTTTTTTTGATCCCTTAATTTTTTCCAATAGTTTATGCGGATTACCAACTGTTTTTTGAATATGAATTTTGAAAACAGAAAAGTGAAAAGTAAGGAGTGAAAAATTGAAAAATACTTACAAAAAAACAGGCCCTAGATGATACAGTATAATTGGTTTGCATTAGATAAATTTCGTCAATATCCAGGGGTTCCCCAAGGGTCCGTTCTGGGGCCACTCGTATTTGTTACTTTTATTAATACTCCAATTGAATACGTTGTTGTTAATTACTTGCTCGATGCGGACGACCTTAAGTTATTTTTGGAAGCTAGTGTATGTCAATTCTACCCTAAAAATTTTGCAACGATGGATCGCGTGGTTTTCGATTGACAGAATTGTTAATTATGAAAATTTCAAAAAGTTTATCGCGTACCGTGAGTTTAAATTAAGGTTTAGAAAGGGCACACAATGTTTTAGAGATACTTGTTATCATAATAAAAAATGATCAATACTAAAAATACCTATTTTTACACTTTTATAACCATTTAGAATTTTTTTTTAATTTTTCAAGATTTTACTCTATTAATTACAATTGTTTATCGCCGAGAGATTTTTCTATGCAATCGACAAAATCTTGCACACATAAAAACTACGTTGTAACCCCCTGCTTTTTAGCCAAATACGACAGCATTCTACAGTGTAGATTCTGAGATATACTTCAATGAATTAACAGAGAGATCATTAAAATAAGAAAATATATATTTTTTAAATTTAATCATTAAAACGTGAATTTCGTGGAATGCATTGATGAACAAACTAATAAAACTTGATTCCCATAATATAACTATTTTTTAAAGGCAAATGAAAGTGGCATAATTCTTTTAAACTCAAAATTCGTGCAAAAATTATTTATTTTATTGACTTTTGATGACATTTGTATTCCTCTCATTGCTCTCAGTCGAATTCGAGTTTGAACGTGAAAAAAATATTAATAGACATTTTATTGCACTTTACGACGGGGAAAGGTGTAGAATTATATTATTAAAAAAGTAACTCGAAAGAAGTGAAGCAAAGTTGGCAAATTGCAAATCAGTAGCAAAATTACGTATTTTTTCACTTTCTCTACTGTTCACGAAAATCTAGACGACTTTTCGGAAATCATCATTTTATGCTGTAGGCAATCAAATTACCTACAGTTAAAGATAGTCTTATTCCACCAATTTGTTAACAGTAAAATAAAGAGCGAATTCACGAGCGTCTTTCGCCTGATCCCGGGACAATTTGTTTATAAGGCTGTTTGACATGTCCTACTTTGTTAGTTGCAAAATGGTACTTAATCAATCATTATTAGAACCTACATCAACGATATTAACTTCTAAAATTAACGTTTAGTAATTAAACAATTAGTTGCAAAAAAAATTAAATTAACAACTAACTGGAGCAACAATTTGACTGAAATTGGATGAAACTACAGGAAAAGATAACTGTTGGGGTGCTCAACAAATACCCGCAATCCGGACTCCCAATTTCAAAATGGCGGCCTATTGCAAAATTATAGTCGAAAACGTAAACGCGGTTATCTTCTGCCCAAGTCAAGGTATCGAAATTTGATTAAAAAAAAGGATCGAAAGGTAATTACATTATCTCTCATCTTACACAGATGCTTTTTTTTATATCAACTTATTTTTTTTTCGCTCTTTCGAAAAGTAAGATGGTCCTTTTATGTATTTAAAAATAAAGTCAATTATTTCTTTGAAAAAAAAATTATGAATGGATGAAAATTTACCGAGGTCGACGTATAAAATATTGTTTTTTCTTCAAGCGTATAATAATACTTATATTATATAGTGCAACACCTCCTTTAGAAGCAGCCTATTGTTTAACTAGTACAAATATTTTTCATTTTTTAACTAGTAAAAAAATGTAACAATGTGTAGGTAAGTATCCTAGCAACGAATTAAAGATTCAAGAAGCTTTGACGTTTCATTAAGTGTCAGTTGAAATTTGATGTCGCGTCGGGTCGTTTTTAAAATGTCTGAAGAAATGCAGTGCACACCACCAGAATTACTGGAAATTGCAAATACATCAGTGGCAACACTTATACCAACAAAGTCGAGAAAAATTTATGAAAATGCTTATGATAAATTCATAAATTGGGCAAAAGAAAATAATGCACATATTTATTCAGAAAATGTGATGATAGCATATTTTACAAGATTATCCAGAACACTGAAAAGTTCAACTTTATGGGCGCAATATTCAATGGTAAAATCTAAATTAAACATAGAACACAATGTAAATATTGAGAAATATTCAAAATTAATTACATTTTTGAAACGACAAGGTGAAAATTATAAACCAAAAAAGTCGAAAGTTTTGTCTAAAAAAGAATTTGACGAATTCCTGAATAAAGCACCTGATGATAAATATTTAGCAACCAAGGTATGTACTTTTTAAATTATAGGTAGATATATATTTAACCTTTTTATATTTGTAATACAAAATTTTGTTATAATTTGTAAACTTCAAGTTATTTTATAGTATCCATTACGAGAATAATAAACAATTTTCGGAAATAAAGATAGCTCATTGGAAGAATGTTGTAAAAACTCATAAATATAGATGTCTTAAAATTACGTCATGTTTTAGAATTTCCTTGCATTTTCCAACTTTTTTTATTGTTACAAAATTAATAATTCTATATTTTTTAGGTTGCACTAATATTTGGAGTCACAGGAGCTTGTAGATGCGATGAACTCATTCAAGTAAAAGTTAATGATGTAAAAGATTTGGGAAATATAATATTAGTAAATATTCCCAATACAAAAACTAAAAAACATCGTTCATTTACCATAATTGGAGAGTTTTATTTAAATTTATACAGAAAATATGCTACTCTTCGGCCAAAAGACATAACTTTTGATAGATTTTTTATTAAATATCAAAATGGCCATTGTCATCGTGTTGTAATGGGCATACATAAAATTTCAAAAGTGCCAAAAGATGTTGCATCATTTTTAAGGTTGCCAAATCCACATGAATATACGGGGCATTGCCTTAGAAGAACCTCGGCAACTATCTTAGTTGATAATGGTGGAGACATTACAACCCTAAAGCGACATGGTGGATGGAAATCTACCAGCGTCGCTGAAGGATACATTGAAGATTCTGTAAACAATAAGAAACAGATAGCGATGAAAATATTAAACCCATTAGAGTATAATGAACCAAGTACATCAAGCGAAACTGTAAATATTGATCCTGAAAATAATTTAATCGAAGACTTTTCTGTTAATAATGGTACAATTGTTAACACTGAAACTGAGAACCTTATTACAAGTAACGTATTCAACGACAGAACTGTAAACTTTGAAAAAAAGACAGCCAGCAGCGCTTTAAATATCAACAACTGTACCATACAAAATTGCACATTTAATATTCATGTTAATAAATAAAGTTTGATGATAGACATGTAGGTAATTTAGATGTTTATTCGTTTAATTCAAATTAAAGAAAAATAATTGTTACATTTGTTTTTTTATTCATGAATAAAGTGGTTAAAACTGTCATGTTTAATTAATCAATAAAATGTATAAAATGTATAAAATAAATAGTATTACCTACCTACTGATTTTATTTTGTGCTGAGATTGACCATCGCGTTATCCGCTATAAATTTTCAAAATTAGTAATTTTTTTATATTCACGCTTGAAGAAAAAATAGTATATGTCACTCGGAGTGGAAGGCTCATGTGTTTTGCCCAATTTGCTCAGCCTCGGCGAGCAAACTTTTGGGCTCAACACATAATGATCGCCTTCTACTCCTAGTAACATAATATAGGTACTATTAAAATTAACTGTTACACTTTTTGCGTAAATTGTGTCTAGAATATCAACATTACATAAGTATTGTATTTTATAGTATTTAAAAGAATTGTTACATTCAATTCTACCATATTTTATTTAATGAATTGTATTGCTATTGCTTTTGATTGGGCATGTGTTTGGTCTAATTCGCCCGGATTATATCCGTTTATTGGGCATTGCCTTTACCTAATTATTGTATTCTATTCAACGAAACAACATTTCAACTTCTATTCTTCACGTACTCTCTTCCAGAGCTGTCTTCGTCAACGTCAGACTTGGAGCTCACGCCTTCAACTCCAACGAGGCCACCCAGGTGCGCATCACCAGCACCAGCATCGCCAACCACCCTAACTACGGTCAGGGCAGTTTCGCCGGCAACGACGTCGCCGTCATCAGCTTGCCTTCCGCTGTGACGCTGAACGTCAACATCCAAGTCATTCCTCTGGCCGCAGAGAACGCAGGCACTTTCGCGGGAAAGAAAGCCCGCCTGACAGGATGGGGAAGGACTTCCGACGCTTCCAACGCCGTCTCGCCAGTCTTGCGTTCCGTTTCCCTCGAAATTAAAACCAATGCGGACTGCACACGTTTTTACGATAGCGACGTAGTGGACGGCAGCATCTGTACCTCTGGAACAGGTGAGTTGCCTTAAAAGTGCTGCGGTGCGAGATAAATCGAAAATTTGTGCCTCCAGGTATCGTGGGTGCTTGCAACGGCGATTCTGGTGGTCCACTGGTGGTCGATGGGGTTCAGGTGGGTGTCGTTTCCTTCGGTTCTACACAGTGCCAAGCCGGAAACCCAACTGTCTATGCTAGGGTCACTTACTTCCTGTCATGGATTCGTGAGCAGTTGTAGATTTTGCCAGCGCGACGATCACGACTGTCCAGATACATTGGAATAGGTTTAGTTTTGAAAATAAAGCAAATTAAAAATAATCAGATTGAGTTTTTTTCCTGATGGTCCTGATAGACCGGGCAAGTTTGACAATAAATCAGCAATTTTTTTCTGATGAACCGATCGAGTTGCGGTTTTCGACATTGTCTTCGGAAAAATATCAGGAAAAAAGTCTATATATTACACTTTGGGGCTGGATCGAAACTGCATTGCGGGTGCATAAAGTGCATCTTGGAGTGCATCAATTTTTCCGAATTTTCTAAAAATGGTAAAAATTGACTAAAAGTTGTAGAAATTAGGTTTTCGGGGTCGGAGATTCCGAATCTGACCCTGAAAAATATGCCCGAAGGCCCTGGGGCTCTCCAGTGGGGCAAGGGGGAGCCTTCTGTAAAACATCGAATAGCTGAGTAATTGCCTTCTAAATCCCCACTCGGGGGTTTTTGGGGTCAGGGATTTCGATTCTGACAGTGAAACGTATGTCCAACGCCCCTGGGGCCCCCCAGGGGGCAAGGGGGGCCTTCTGTAAAACACCGAATAGCTGAGTAATTGCCTTCTAAATTTCCACTCGGGGGTTTTTGGGGTCGGGGATTTCAATTCTGACACTGATAAGTATGCCCGACGCCCCTGGAGCCCCCAGTGGGGGCAAGGGGGGGGGCTTCTGTAAAACATCGAATAGCTGAGTAATTGCCTTCTAAATTTCCACTCGGGGTTTTTGGGGTCGGGAATTCCGATTCTGACACTAAAAAGTATGCACGACGCCCGTGGGGTGGGCTTTCTGGAAAACATCGAAAGGCAGATTTTTGCAATAAAACTGCTCCATCCGCTTACCAACCATGATCTTGTAGGCTTATCTTTACATTGTAACACACGCAAATTTACAGAGATTAGACAAGAAGGGTAAGAAAAACTAACAGGAAATTAATGAGTCGAAAAGAATCCACTTTATTCTGAGAACCAATTTTCTTTTTATTTGCAAGGCAATTAGTGAGACAACTACTATCATATGTTTATCTAACACTTTCACTATCAATCACAATTTTCATCATCAGTACTGCCATCACTGTCTCCATCACTATCATCTATTACATTTTCGACTATTTCAGGATTGGAACAGTTGGTTCCAAAACAATTTGTACATGCAATTGTGCATGTAATTCCATGCTTCCTGCACCCACAAGATCTGCATTGTCGATAATCGGATTTTGTCGCCTAATTGTTATGCATTATCCGCAGTCGCACGGGCCCAAGAGATTCTTTTGAAAATCCATGATCCATGAAATATTCTTCGGTTTTAAGGAATATTTCTTTGATTTAACGAAATGTGTCTCTTGGGAACGGATTGTCCAGGATTTCTCCAATTCTACGACAATTTTTCTCAGTGATAGACAAGCTAAGATTAATGGATATTTTCCAGTGTCAGATTCGGAATCCCCGACCCCGAAAACCCCCGAGTAGAAATTTAGAAGGCAATTACTCAGCTATTCGATGTTTTACAGAAGGCCCCCCGTTTGCCCCCGTGGGGGGGGCCAGGGCCGTTGGGCATATTTTTCAGGGTCAGATTCGAAATCTCCGACCCCGAGAACCAGATTTCTACAACTTTTAGTCAATTTTTACCATTTTTAGAAAATTCGGAAAAATTGATGCACTTTATGCACCCGGAATGCAGTTTCGATCCAGCCCCAAAGTGTAATATATAGACTTTTTTCCTGATATTTTTCCGAAGACAATGCCGAAAACCGCAACTCGATCGGTTCATCAGAAAAAAATTGCCGTATTCTGGGTGATTTTGGTCAAACTTGCCTGGACCAGAATACGAATCCTTTTTAATCAAATCAATAACTCGAGTTATAATTAGTTTTTTAAACTGCGTTGCCACTTGCTTTTATAACAACTACATTGTGCGAAGAAGTTATGGAAAATAACACAGCAACACAAAAAAAAAGAAAAGTTGTCTGTACTTTTCATGCGACATATGTTATCAGTAGTATTTTTGCCTCCTGATCAGGAATCCGGTGTCAGAATTGAGCTATCGCATCACAGGAATTTCCTAAACTCAAAAAGCAGGTAAAAAATAGCAAAAATTCAGGAAAAAGTGCTGGGAAAAATACAAAAATTTCTTTTTCCTGTATTCAAATGTTTATTTATATAGGTAATCCAACGTGAATCGCGGTCAAAATTAATGGTTCTTTTTCTAACCTCAAAAAAACGGATCAATTATGGTTAGATGTCACGAATTTTCAAACGATGACAGATTCGCGCAAAATTTGGTATCCGGGGGTTTTCTGGGTCACTAATCACGGATCCGAGGTCAATTTTGCAAAATTCAAGATGGTGGATCCAAGATGGCCGACCAAATTTTAAAGAAATAATAGATTCGCATCAAATTTGATATAAGGGGGTTTTGATATAAGGTCTATTTTGCAAAATTCCAGATGGCGGCCGACCATATTTTCAAAAAATAACATATTCGCGCCAAATTTGGTATACGAGCGTTCACAACTACGGATCCGAGATCAATTTTGCAAAATTCAAGATGGCGGATCCAAAATGGCCGACCAAATTTTCAAATAATAACAGAATAGCAGCAAATTTGGTATGCGGGGGTTTTCGGGGTCGCTGATTACGTATTCGAGGTCAGAATTGCGAAATTCATTTTGTAATATTTTACTTTATAACCTGAGTCAATCCCAATCACCTACTTTTTTTCGGCTATATCTTGTTCTTTTTTCTGTAAAAGATCTATTCACGAGTTGGATTTTGTTAATCTGATCTCGGATTCGTGATCAGTGACCTCGAAAACGCTCGTATACCAAATTTGGCGAGAATATGTTATTTTTTGAAAATTTGGTCGGGCGCCATCTTGAATTCTGCAAAAGTGACCTCGAGTTCGTGATCAGCCACCCCGAAAACCCCCTTATACCAAATTTGATGCGAATCTGTTATGTTTTGAAAATTTGGTCGGCCATCTTGGATCCGCCATCTCGAATTTTGCAAAATTGATCTCGGATCGGTGATCAACGACGCCGAAAACCCCCGGATACCAAATTTGACACGAATTTATTATTTTTTGAAAATTCGTGATATCTGACCTTAATTGACCCGTCTTTTTGAAGTTACAAAAATAACGATCAATTCTGACCGCTATGTCACGTTCGGCGGAGTCTTAAATATATAAATGAACATTTGAATATAGAAAAAAAAAATTTTTTGTATTTTTCCTGAATTTTTGTTCAAGAATTTTTGTTATTTTTTACCTAATTTTTTGACGTTAGGAAATTCCTGTGATGTGATAGCTCAATTCTGGTGGCAAAAATACTACGGATAACGTATGTCGCATGAAAAGTACAGACAACTTTTCTTTTTTTTTTTTGTAGCTGTGTAATTTAGCAATCAGATTATTTTTGCATAATTTAGAGACTTGCTATTTCAAAAATCACCATATATATTTGATATCACTGTGGCTGAAGAGCCATATATTTAAAAAAAAATTTATTTCAAAAAAAATATATATAAAATATAAAACACGTATTATACAAAACAAACTTTCTAATATTTGAAAAAAAATCGGACGACTTAGTTAATACATAATAATTTAAATATTTAATAATGCCAATATTAGTAAAAGTAGATATAAAATATGGTTTTTTAGTAATCAGCCATCGCGATTTGTTTCTATAATAAAATTTGGTTTAATAGCATACATTATCTGTAAAAAATAAAACAAAAAAAAGTTATTCGAAAAAAATAAAATAAAAAAAGATCCCACTCTAGAACCTGTTTCATAAATTTGCATAATGGAAAACGATGTTTTCGAGAATTTGTCGAAGAAAAACACCCCACTGATTTTCAAAAAGCACATTTTTGGTTTAAAAATCAATAAACATCTCAAAAAACTAAATGTATATTATTTTTACATTTTTTTTTAAACTACAATCCGAAACGAAGAAAATGAAAAAAAACTTTGATATTTTTAGTTTATGCAAAGTTGCAGGTATTTGAAAATTTTACCCAAAATATTCAAATGATCATAACTGGAGGGGTGAATTAAAAATTTGAAAAAATACATGAAAGCTACTTTAATGGGTACATTTCCAATAACTCGACCTCATTCATACTTAAATGTGCATGTAGATATTACGCCTTGTATATTTCCTAATTATCTCTGATACTTTTTCAACAAATAATAATCGTCTACTAAGTAGAAATGAAAAATTAAAAATAATTGGCCGTGCCGGTTTAATATTTCTTAAATTACATTATTCAAAACTGAAAATTCGCCGGGTCCGATAACCAGTTATGCCATTGTAATATGTACAAGCAAATTTTGGACATAGACAAATTGGTAACACAATTTATTATTATTAATAACAACACTGAAATACAAAACCTCTTTAAGCCGACTCCCGAGTTATTGTAGGAAGAAAATAATAAATCATAGCATATTTAATATTTCTAAAATTGAAATGTACCGAATGAGAAAATGTTTGTCATTTGGCCAACAACATATTTTAATTTTTTATGTCCTCAAACAATTTTATTATATTGATGGTAAATTTCGTCTTGTTCAGTTCCAAAAGGTCTCCAAAATGCCATGTTGTAATAATATTAGTAAACCAAATATCCCTCTTATTTTTCCCTTTCGCAATTGTAATATGAACGATTAATAGACGATGCCTTTAATAAATTAAAATTACCTGAATCACACTAAATTCCGCATTGCTGCACTGCACTGCTAGGCCATTTGTCGACAACTGAGTTTATGGCTAGGTCGCTCAGTGCGTCTGTGTTTGTGCCACGTTTGATCGGGCGCTCATACCTCAACTGGGCGACCAGACCTGTATATGGGTATGACTAATAAATAAGTTTTCCAAATATTTAGTTGCTGCGTCAGCGACCAAACCTGGTACATACTGCCTTGGTTCTTCAATTGAGATCAGAAAAACTATATCAGGACTCGAAGAATTTCCAGAAAATTTTAAGTGTTATGTTATAAAAATCAAGCGAGTAAACAGATTATTTATTTATTGTTGTGTATTTCATTTATCATTATTGATTGCTGCTTGAGTTTGTCGCTAGGTTACTTGTTAAGTACTGTTTCATAGTTTGTCTTAGTTAAAAGAATTAAACTTTAATTTTTGTGGGATGGTAGAGCACGTGGTGAACACCCACTCAACAAAAGTAACGTGCCAAACCTCTAGGCGAGTTGTGTGGAAATTTGATTTTTTAATACCTTTTCCTTAAAAATAAGATTTGACAACAATGCACAGCCCACTTTTCAATTGTGCATGCTCTGCGACTAAAGCGCGCCGTAGTTTGAAGTTACACTAAAAATTAAGTGTTCGAGGAATTTGAAGAAATAAACTATTGATGTGTTTCTAAAAGTTAAAGGAAGCCTCTGTAAACATATGACCCCCACTCAAAGTTACATCCTGTATATCAATTTCGTTATCTACAGGCCATTATCATGCACCGTTCTCAAACATTTTTTTTTTATTTCAGACAGAGGATCATAGACGTAAATTTTTGAGAATTTCAAAAATGTCCTAATCCTTTCTTCAATCGACAAGTTAATCTATTTGTTTTAGCAATTTAAAAAAAAAAAATCCGACACCAAATGTCAAACAATATTGATATATATGTGATACTAAATGAGATAAAAACAAGTGAGCAATTATAAAAGGCCGGAACAAACTGGAGTCTTGCACCTTTATTCAGAAGTAACGTCAAAAATGAAGTTCGCGTTGTGTTTGTTGGCCATCGTCTTCAGCGCCGTGGCTCTGCCCGCGGAGATGCCGCTCGAGAGCCCCGATGAGGTGAGATACTTTTCCTAATTTGCACACTCACAACCTCCATTATTATGCTATTGAATAGGTACAGAATTTTAAAAGGAACTATGACGTTCAAGATATTTTATTTCATGAATCGTTCAAAGGGTCATTTTAGATGAAAAAACCGTCATACGGAGTGCTATTAAATTAGAGGGTTGAAATTGAAGATAGAGGTGAAAAAGCACTTTTGCAGTTTTTTAAATATAGTACGAAAACGAAGCAAAATTTCGGTAAAGTTCATAGGAAAAATTATTTAGAGAATTGAATTTTCCATCAAAATGGCATATTTTTTAAATATAGTATCCCACTTTTCAAATAAGCCTCATTTCGTGGACCCACAACTTAGTCCAAGCATTATAGAGAAATGCTTACAGAAATTATTACCAGGACAAAAAAAATATGACCATATAGAAAATTAAATTTTAAATTGAGTTTCTTGTTCTTTAAACTCGATCCAAAATGGCGAACATGGCTAAAAAAAATCGCAAAGTTGCAAAAAACGGTTTTTCTAAATTAACTAAAAAAATATAGCACCTATTGAAAAATTTTAAATGAGAAAGTTGTAGGTTTTAAAAAGATCTACCGATTGATTTTTTGTAAGTATCGATTGCTTTGTTACTTTTCGAGATATATCGAAAAAACCGTTAAAAATCTCCTCTTTTCTCTTCTTCTATAACTCGTTTACATTTACGTTCTCATATTTGCTATTTACTGCAAGCATAGCCCGCGGCAAGCCAAAAAAGTACATTTTTGAAAAATTTAAAAATATTAATTATTTTTCGAGATATATCGATTTTTTGAAAAAAAGGCGCTCTCGAAAATTGGCTAGATCTTCTCAGCGGATAGCCCTACAGTAACGATTTTCGGTTTATTTTCTTCGTAAAGAGTTATATTATCATGCTGTTAAAAAATGTTGACGATTTTATTAATTTTAAGGATCAAAAAATGACTGAAAAAGTTGCACTTTTTTTGGGTATGTTTTTTTCAAATAACTATTTCAATTTTTATTATTTTTTTGTACTTAATCTGGGGTAGCTAAACACGAATATTATAGCATTTTCGCCTTAGAAGCAAAATAGACCCGTAAATGTTTAGTTTTCTTTCTTTAAAAGTCATTTTCATAAAATAAAAATTGAAAGTTATTTGAAAAAAACATACCCAAAAAAGTGCATCTTTTTCGGTCATTTTTTTTTATCCTTAAAATTAAAAAAATCGTCAACATTTTTTGACAGCATGATAATATGACTCTTTACGAAGAAAATAATCAAAAAATCGTCACTGTAGGGCTATCCGCTGAGTAGATCTAGCCAATTCTCGAGAGCGCCTTTTTTCAAAAAATCGAAATATCTCGAAAAATAATTAATATTTCTAAATTTTTCAAAAATGTTCTTTTTTGGCTTGCCGCGGGCTATGCTTGCAGTAAATAGCAAGAATGGGAACGTAGATGTAAACGAGTTATAGAAGAAGAGAAAAGAGAAGATTTCTAACGGTTTTTTCGATATATCTCGAAAAGTAACAAAGCACTGGATACTTACAAAGAATCAGTCGATAGATCTTTTTAAAACCTACAACTTCCTCATTTAAAATTTTTCAATCGGTGCTATATTTTTTTAGTTACTTTAGAAAAACCGTTTTTTGCAACTTTGCGATTTTTTTAACCATGTTCGCCATTTTGAATCGAGTTTAAAGAACAAGAAACTCAATTTAAAATTTAATGTTCTATTCGGTCATATTTTTTTGTCCAGGTAATAATTTCTGCAAAATTAATCCGTGACAGCATGCTTGGACTAACTGCTCGCAATGGTTTCCTCATTTGAATCCAATAAATAATACTAAACGCGTATTTTTTTTATAAGCTCGACTGGTCGAAGATAACACCGGAAAACGTCTACATTGAGCCAATCAATCCCGTGAAGAACGTCGACCTCCCCGAATCTAGGATCATAGGCGGTATAGAGGTCGCTCCCAATTCCGTCCCATACCAAGTCGGCGTACTCATCAACGGCGCCAGCTTCTGCGGTGGCTCCATCATCTCCACCAGTCGTATCTTGACTGCAGCTCACTGCACCATCAGGTAAGTGCACGGCAGTCTTTAGATCCCTTCTCGAGTCAGGACCGAACGAATCTCTTTCCAGAGCCTCATTCGTGGAAATCAGATTCGGAGCCCACATCATCAACCAGAACGAAGCCACCCAAGTACGCATCACCAGCACCAACATCATCAACCACCGCTCCTACAACTCGTTCCTCATCTCCAACGACATCTCCGTCGTCCTGCTTCCGTCCGCCGTCACCCTCAACAGCAGGATCCAAGTCATCCCCTTGGCGCCGGCCAACGCAGGCACCTTCGAAGGGGCTAGGGCCTTCCTGTCGGGATGGGGTAGGGATTCCGACGCTTCCAATGCCATATCCCCCGTGCTGCGCGGGGTCAACCTCAACATCATCTCCAACGCGGCCTGCAGGAACGTCTTCGGGCTGGTCGTCCTTTCCTCCACCATCTGCACGTCAGGAACGGGTATGAGTCTTTCAAGATTAATACTATTTCAGACATAAATTATTAACGAGCGTTCAAATAAAAACGTGGTCAAGTTGGTTCTGAAAATTTGGACGTAGGGCGTAGCGTATAGCAAATGAACTTAAACGTCATATGTCAAAGCGCTATATCGCCGCTATCAATTTGAATATTTTCGTTTTAAAAAGCGTTTAAAATGGTGTTTTCTCAAGAACTAAAAGTGTTTATCATAGAGTCCTACTTTAGAAATGGACGCAAGATTGATGGAATATGGAAGTATTCTATTGAGGAATGTTTCATAGAATTTCAAAATCAATTTCCCGGCGTTGTTGAGTACAAAATTTTTCAAAGTGCAGTTCAGCGTTGTGTTAATGTTTTTCGTGAAACGGGCAGTGTAACAAGAAAAGAAGGAAGCGGCCGACCTAAAAAGCGGACTGAAGAATTAAAAGAAAATGTCCAACAAATAATGGAAAATGCGCCAAGAACTTCTGTACGTGTTTTATCACAAATGGTGGGAGTATCAGTCGGTACCTGCCACACAGTGTTAAAAAAAGATTTGCGTTTGTTCTCCTATCGTTTAACTTGTCAGCAAGAACTTCATGAAGTTGATTTTCCGCGACGGGCTGTATTTTGTGAATGGTTTTTAAACAACTACGGTGAACTTCATAATATCACCTTTTTTTCTGATGAAGCCTGGTTTCATTTAAGTGGTTACGTAAACTCACAGAATATGAGAATGTGGTCTTCTGAAAAACCAGATAACTTTTTTGTCGAGGGCCCTCTACACGCTCAAAAAATTGGAGTTTGGTGTGCTCTCAATCGAAGGAGGATTTATGGACCTATTTTTTTTAATGGTACTCTTACTGCGCAAAGGTATAGAGAAGAAATTATCGCTCCTTTTGTTAACCAGCTGGAAGAAAACGAAATTACAAACTTTTACTTTCAACAAGATGGCGCAAGGGCACATACGGCAGGCGAGACGATGAATATGTTGAGGGAAGTTTTCCAAAATCGACTAATAAGTCTCAATGCTGAACATGAATTTCCACCGAGGTCATGTGATATTACGCCGTGTGATTTCTTTTTGTGGCCTTACCTTAAAAACACTATTTTTGAACTGCCTATTCCTGATTTAAACCATCTGCAGGCTCGACTTATAGACAAGATTCGTGAAATTAACAATACCCCGAGCATCTTAGAAAATGTCTTTAATTCTTTGAGGAACAGGTGTGAAAAGTGCTTGGAACAAGGAGGGGGACACTTTCAGCAGCTGCTTTAATTTATTGTTATAACAAGGAGGGGGACACTTTCCGCAGCTCCTTTAATTGTTTGTTATTGTTATCACGATTATTCTTTAAAATAAAGTTATATAGTCATTAACGTTATTGAAACTGACAGCTGCTATACAGCTCGTTGAGAAATGAGGTTAAGTTGGTCGCTATAAGCTACCCCCTACGTCCAATGTGTCAGAGCCAACTTCGACCACGTTTTTATTTGAACGCTCGTTATAATCTGAGTGGCTTTGTTCCTTCAGGTACCGTGGGTGCTTGCAACGGTGATTCTGGCGGCCCATTGGTGGTTGACGGTGTCCAGGTGGGTATAGTGTCCTTCGGTTCGAGATCGTGCGAGGCCGGAAATCCGACCGCCTACGCCAGGGTCACTTCCTTCAGGAACTGGATCACCGAGAACGCAGGCGTATAAGTGACATCCATACGACGATTGTGGGAAAGCAAATTAATGTACCTATGTATTATGTTAGTTTATCAAATACAGACAATGAGCATTACAAACCTTGTATCTATGAATTCCCCGTCATCTAACTTGGCTACTTGAATTACAAAGACCCGCAAAAAAAATTTGGGAGGTGCGAAAGACAAGACCATTATACAGAGTGTCCCTGAAAAGGACGGACTACGCTTGACCACAGGTTCCTTGGATGAAAATAAGACTATTTAGCCTAACTTATCTATATACAAAAGTGAACGCCTACTGAGATATAGCCTTCTAAATATAGAATAGTTAATCTATTTTTATTCAAATAATTTGAAAACTGTTTTTCTTAGAAACTTCAAATTTGGTACACTTATTTTTTTATATAAGGGTAAGGTAAATATAGAATTTGGAGAGAATATATATACAGGATTCTATTTCTAGTGCCTGTGCGCCACTAGCTATCCCGTAACTTTTTTATGTGTACGCCAATGACGACAGAATTTATATTTTTAAAAATAAGCACTATTTTAGAAGATTTTTTTGCTCTTACAAAATTTCGATATCGTTTATGGATTTCGAGTAAAATTCGCATTTTTTATACAATAAATATAGGCAAAAATTCCGATTTATAAAAAATAATTTATAACTGCAGCCTCAAAGCAGCATATTGAAAAAACGTCATATTAAAAAAAATAACTACACATTTTTGGTATTAGTATTATCAATCAATAAAATAAAAATCAACACTAATATTTTAAATAAACTGATATTTGTAATCATATTAAAATAATATTACAGTAAATGCTCAAAGTTACTTTCTTGTTTTTAAACGCAAACATTACTTCTTCGAAAATTAGAAATTATCCAATTATTGCATTACCTCTCATAACATTAATTTTGTGTTGTATTCTTTCCCATATTCGTTTTCTGTATTTACTGAAAAGTTATTTTAAACTGTGGTACTCAACGCTCCCCAAAGGAAATAATTACATGGGTTTAGGTCCGGGGATCGAGGTGGCCATTTTAAAGGGGCATTATTTCCTCTACCTATCCACCTGTTAGACCTTTAATAACCTGTAATACCTACCTGTACCCTGTAATACCTGTAACCTGTAATAACTGGTCTTTTAATACTCTATTAAAGGAACTTTTTGAAAGCCAACCTCTGCCGCTAAACGCCTTTTATTTACTTGAGGAATTTCTTCGACCCTTTCCAAAATTTGTTCCTCCAGCTGAATAATTCCGGCCGTACATTATCCACGATTTAATGTTACAGGTAAAAAACGTCCTGTTTCCCGAAGGCGTCTCTCCGCATTAGCAAATGTTTTGTGATTTGGAGTTCTTCGATTAGGAAATCTTTCAGCATATGTTCGAACAGTAGCACAACAATTTCCTTCACAATAACCCAAAACTACTAACATATCAGTTTGTTCAGCAAAAGTATAAATTGCAATAAAAAACAAAGTAAGCTAAAATTAAATCACAGCTAGCTTGACACAGAACCTTTTAATTATTGTTATGAATTTGTTTCTCTGTTATATGGCACCTCGTACTAGAATGTTCTATTTATCTTAAACTGATTTTATATTATTTAATGTGTAAAAAATGCCAATTTTACTCGAAATCCATAAACGATATCAAAATTTTGTAAGAGGCAAAAAATCTTCTAAAATAGTGCTTATTTTTAAAAATATAAATTCTGTCGTCATTGGCGTACATACAAAAAAGTTACGGGATAGCCAGTGGCGCACAGGCACTAGAAAGAGAACATCCTGTATATGTATTCTCACCAAATTCTATATTTACATTGCCCTTATATAAAAAAATATGTGTACCAAATTTGAAGTTTCTAAGAAAAACAGTTTTCAAATTATTTGAAAAAAAAAATAGGTTACCTGTTCTATATTTAGAAGGCTATACCTCAGTAGGCGTGCACTTTTGTATATAGGTAAGTTAGGCTCAATAGTCTTATTTTCATTCATCAAGGAACCTGTGGTCAAGCGTTGTCCATCCTTTTCAGGGACACCCTACATATACGCAAGAAAATATTTTCTTCTTTCAAGAAAATTATTTATTTAAATACTTTAAATTTCTACCCAGAAATATAATTTCTTACTTTAAAAATAAGCAGCATTTAAAATAAATATTAGATACTTACGGTTAAACGAATTCTATTCTTAATTTTATGATCTACACAGATTTTATAGAAACATGTTTTGTATTGTATATTAATGTATCGTTTGTTTAATACAAAACTGAATAGTTTTTGGTCAAATGATTGTATTACTTATTTTAAGAATATATTTGAATATAAATATTTCTCAGTAATAAAAAAATATACATATCTATGTTAAGGAGCTGGTAGTTTTGAAACATATATGTTTGCAGTTTATGATGAACTGTAAGAGATATTGTACCTAAGGTACGAGATAATAAACTTCAAAAATATAAAAGATTTGAATTAAATTATATATATTTACAAATAATATAAATTCTAAGAAAAATTATAGATTACAGTAAATATTTCACATAGTTTGACGAAAATATATACGTTTGAATAAAATAAAATTACATTTACGGCAAATAATTCCATTTAAAACTGCTCATTTGATCCAAATTTTTCAGTGTGGTAGGCCTTAATTTTAAATTAAGTTCGATTTGAAAAATGACCAACTAAAGACGTCAATAAAATAAATATATTTACAAAATTTGGTTGTTCCGTATTAAGATATTGCTAAAATACCGAGTTTTTTCGATTTTTTAAAGATATTTTCTGAGGCTAAACAAAATTATATGAAAAATCAACTTGTTTTGGTGTCGTCTACACGCACCTGTTCTATGTCCATTGAGTTGTGAATCACCTTGTATGTATTGGTTTACATTGTTGGCAAGTCATTCCCTATATCTGACCTCGAACTGACATTAACCAAGATCCAATTGTGTCAAATGGACACCGGATTCGGATTCAGTGACCCCAAAAATATATGGCTACCATGATCTTGTCTTTCGGACCTCCTACATTTTTTTTGTAGGACTGTGTTACTAATCATTTTAATAATTTCTGCATGAGTAGAACATGTATGTAAAGAAAAACTGCAAAAACATAATTCGGTTTGCAACCTGTGTAGAAGTAAACCGAGATTTTAAATCTATAGATCCCTTGTACGGTATATGACAGACATACTCAATAATTTTTGCTCTCTAAGCTAGAAAACACGCTCATTTTTTTAAATTTTGGATCTGCATTTACAAATTTTTGCAGTATTTCTGTCAATTTATTTTTATCTGGGTTGAAACTTTGACGTTTCAGCATAACCTGACATAAAAGAATGTCTAAAAAAACTTGTGCATTATAGGTTATATAAGTTGCATTTGTTATATAAAGTAAAATACATTCAATGAATGAATATGTCGAAAATGGTTACTCGTAGCGACACTTTGCAAGATACGAGGTCTGCTCACGAAATAACCGAACTTTATTCACGTTGCACTCAAATAACAATATCATGGAAACTAAATGAGATATTAATAATCCAACAACATGTGGCTACAGACGACGCTATGCGCAACGCAATGTTGCCAATCGCATATCACTAATTATTTCCATTAGCATGCAATTCAAAATGTTCTGTTATTTTCTAAACAGACCTCGTATTCTTTTGCACACAAAAAATATGAATATGAAAAAAAGATTACTTTGATCACTTTGACGTCAGCCTTTTTAAGTATTAACTTTTGAATTAAGATAACGTAAGTAAAAAAAAATGATTATTTGAACGAGATTAACATCAGACAAGTTAATCAAGGCCTACTTAAAGGGCATCATTATATTGCACCGGTTTAGACATTATCTAAATCTAATCATATTTATTGGTTTGAAGTAGCTGTTCTAAACAAATAACAAATATCCCATTGTGTCTGGTTTATAAATTCATCGATGCGGGTGGTGCGGGGGGTCTCCGGGACTTTGGGCAAAACCGAAACCCGTTCGTTTAGAGAAGAAACAAAACGGCATATTTCTAAAGTAGACAGAAATCGTTATATAATGCGAGGACTCGTCGGTATAACTTGTTTTTTTGGGAAAATAAGAACTGCCATTTCGCGGACATGCAGAATACAGAGTCTTCAAATAATTTTATAAAATGCATACAACTTCTAGCCAATTACGATTAGTGAAAGACCGCCGTATTAACTTAATTAATAAAAATTAATTAATTAATAAAAAATAGTTCACTCAGATTTTCAATTAAAAATTTTGTGGCTGAAATGGTCAGAGTTCTTTCAAAAATTCTGGCAATAATTTCCTAATGGGTAAGTATAGGGTGCCCCTAGCTCGACGCTCCAATGATATTACAGGGTAACGAAAACTGTTACTGAAAATTTGAAGTATAGAATTGAGGTGGCATGAATTGAAGTACATTTTGCACCAAAAATTAAAGTTTCAGATATTTCGAAAATTGTGTTGATGACGTCATGAAATCACACATAAACTATTTCTGCATTGTTATAAATAATCGAAAATAATACTGAAAACTGCCAACTACACTGTCTGTAAACACTTTGATGGCAAGTAAACATTACAATGTAACTCGATCAATTGTTTTCCAGAGGATATCCAATCCACTTATGACTAATGTAACTTTGACGTTCTAATTATTGTTTTTCCTCCTGATCATAACTTTTTAACGAAAATAGATAGAGAAGAATTTTTTTAAAATATGTTTTAAATATTATTAATATTAAACATCAACACAATTTTCGAAAGAATTAATTAAAACTTTAATTTTTGGTGCAAAATGCACTTCAATTCATGCCGCTTGAACCCTATACTTCAAGTTTTCAGTAACATATTTCGTTACCCTATAATATCATGGGGACGTCGAGTTTGGGACACCCTGTATATGTATCTATTTTTTTATTACACTTTTAATCAAACTTTTACTATTGCCTACCTAACTTGCAATGCCACCGCACGCCACTGACTGGTGGGCTCCGCGTAGCTCGCTTATACATCTGTAGTGTTTACAGCGGTGGTCATGGTTACCGTCGCGCGATAGTTAAAGACGAAGTACGAATAGCGCGAATTTACTATGAATTTAAAATGCCGAAAAGTGGCACCGCTACATTCGAGTTGAATACAATTTGCAGTCAGAAATGCTGAGAACTTTGCTGGAAACCTTTGGCCAGTACTTTTGTATACAGGGTGATTCGTAAATGGTAACCAAAAATGAAATCTCGTATTTTTAGGAGCAGTCTTTCCTAAAAAGTTTTTATCTATAATGCTTCGTTAAAGAGATACAGGATGTTAAAGTTCAAAAAAAAATATTTTTAATTTTTTAAAATAATTTAAAAATTAGTAAGTGAAATAATTTGAAATTGGACACATGTATTTATGTAAACATTGTCTAAAATCTGAGGGTTTTCCCAAAAGTTACATGCTCCAGTGGCGGAGGGTATCAGTGGCATATTTTTTTAAATAAAATATTTTCGAATTCGTCTTTAAATTTTCTACAAATTACTACTCTCTTATGTGTTTCGAAAAAAGCCTGATTTTCGAGTAAAACCAACTGAAAACACTTACTTAAATGACATGACAAACACTAATCATTCGGTTATTTATTGGAATAAAGAAATTAACAACATTAGTCATCATTTTAATGATTTGATTTGAGTAAATACTGAAAAATACCTCCATTTCCACGAACACAGACCTGACATCTTTTTAGTAACGAAAATGTAATTTGTTCGAAACTTATTATTGCTTGAATCTGAAGTTGCTATTGCGGCCCACTATGTAATTTTAAAAAGCATTATATTCGAATATCGAAGTGTGTTCTCCGTTCGTTTTTTAAGTTTTACTCGAAAATCATCATCATTTTTCGAAAAACATAAGAGAGTAGTAATTTGTAGAAAATTGAAAAACGAATCCGAAAATATCATGGTTGTTACCGTAAAGCAGTGGAGTACTATTTTATTTAGAAAAATATGCCACAGATACCCTGTATCTCCGCCACTGGAGCATGTAAATTTTAGGAAAAGCCCTCAAATTTTGCACAATGTTTACCTAAATACATGTGCCCAATTTCAAATTATTTCACTTACTAGTTTTTAAATTATTTAAAAAAATTAAAAATATTTTTTGAAGTTTAACACCCTGTATCTTTTTAACGAAACGTCCTAGANTATTATGATATTTGTAATCGGATCAAAGGCTTGTTTACGCTAGAGCTCGAGAGAGACTGTGAATAATATGTGTAATGTTTTTAGGACGTAGAATAATTTAGGCGACGGTCGGAATTATTTTTCTGCGCATATGAAGGTCAAAGCTCATAAGATTTTAAAACATCTCTACTTCTGATCATAACCTTTTAATGAAAATAGATAGAGAAAATTTTTTTAAATAAAAGGTTATCGGAAAAATATGTTATTTTTAAATATGGAAAAGCACAGGTATGTTCATGGGAAAAAAATTTCATGACGTCATCAACACAATTTTCGAAATATCTAAAACTTTAATTTTTGGTGCAAAATGCACTTCAATCCATGCCGCTTGAACATCACACTTCAAATTGTCAGTAACACATTTCGTTACCCTGTAATATCATTGGGGCGTCAAGTTTGGGACACCCTGTACATGTATCTATTTTTTTATTACACTTTTAACCAAACTTTTACTATTGCCTACCTAACTTGCAATGCCACCGCACGCCACTGACTGGTGGGCTACGTGTAGCTCCCTCCTACATCTGTAGTGTTTACAGCGGTGGTCATGGCGACAGTGAAAGACGGAGTAGGAATACCGCGAATTTACTATGCAGTTTGGTACGGTAACCTAATAATAACTATTCACCACTTTTTTTTTATTAAACGTAATTTGTTTACACGTGGCGTAAAATTTTGTTACGTACTGTTTCTTGAGTGTTTTTTAAAGGATTGTAAAAGTTTAAATTAGCAGAAGAATTTACTACTCTCGCTATAAAAAGTAATGTTGAAGAATAAAATGCCAAAAAGTGGCACAGCTAAACTCGAATTGAATACAATTCGCAGTCAGAAATGCTAAAAACTTTGCTGGAAACCTTTGGCCAGTACTTTTGTACATTATACAGGGTGATTCATAAATAAAATTTTTCCTAAAAAGTTTTTATCTAGAACGCTTCGTTAAGAACGGAAATTGAAGTCCCGTTTCATCTAACAAAGTACTACAATATTCATATAGATGTCGCTACAGGAAATACGTTTATAGTAAAAATAGTACGATTATTTCATTCATTCAAATTCCGGCAAAACACACCTAAAAAAAACGAGGAAATGCCAGGTGCACGCACACGTGCACGATAATGAGTTGNTCAACAGCCTACTTCAGATTAGCCGCTGCAGATAACAATTTTAAAACAAACAATCAACTCTGACATCAACGAAAACAATAGGTAAGTCTCTACGCGTCAAAGTCAGCTAATAATGACAAACAGGCAACGGCAGTTTAACCGACACGCTACAATACATGTGGGCAACCTTAAAAATATGTCAGGTCGTCACTGTTATTGCCTTCTTGAGACTCCCGAAGGTAAATGTAGACTTTACTTTAATTATAATTAATACCTAGTACATTTTCCAGCATGGATTCGAATCCGACATTGAAGCAAGAGTCATGCAAAATACAAAAGACTTACCTGGTGCTGACGAAGTCGGGACAGGACCCCCACATCACGTGGCAATCATCACCAGACCGGCCAACAGAAGCTTCCTGTGGTGCGGGGGGTCGATCGTTTCAAGAAAATTCATCCTCACCGCAGCCTATTGCCTGGAAAAGTAAGAAAAAGTCAGTAGCCTTCTCAACAGTGCCCTAATATTTCAAATTTCAGCTCACAAGACGCTACAATTAATTTATATCCCACGACAAACGGTGAGTATAGTGTAAGGAGTAACAAATTCAAGATTCATCCAAAATGGCAGCCACAACTCCTTCAGAACGACATCGCCCTGATCGAACTGCCCCATCCTCTACGCCTACCGGATCTGAACCCCATCGAGTTATCTTTCAGCGCCAAGATCGCTTCTAAACTACCAGCGAGCGTGTATGGGTGGGAAAAACAAGATCTTCGACCGATATGGGGCAGATACGATGTGGTTATTATAAGTAACAAAGACTGTGCTGTGTTTTACGGAGCTTTAATCACAAAGTATACCCTGTGCGCCAAAAGCGATGGGCAAGGAAACGGTTGCCACGGTTCCTCGGGTGGTGCGTTGGTGATAGACGGNAAGATATATTGGAATAAAAAATGGCTGTTTTGTACCATTTTTCGCTATAATTTAGGCAACCAGAAATGCATCAGTTTCCATCCTTAAAAAGATAGTGTTAAACTTAAAAAAAAATATTTTTAAATTTTTAAAATAATTTAAATCCTAGTAAGTGAAATAATTTGAAATTGGACACATGTATTTATGTAAACATTGTCCAAAATCTGAAGGTTTTTCCTAAAATTTACATGCTCCAGTGGCGGATATACAGGCTATCGGTGGCATATTTTTCTAAATAAAATATTTTCGAATCCGTCTTTCAATTTTCTACAAATTATGTTTACACTTACTTAAGTGACATGACAAACACTAATCATTCGGTTATTTATTCGAATAAAGAAATTAATTACATTAGTCATCATTTTAATGATTTTATTTGAGTAAATGCAAAAATACCTCCATTTCCACGAACACAGGCCCGACATCTTTTTAGTAACGAAAATGTAATTTGTTCGAAACTTATTGTTGCTTGAATCTAATGAAAGGCATTATTTATTCTTTCTTCTAACTGCTCAGAATGTCAAAGTTGCTATCGCAGCCCAATATGTAATTTTAAAAAGCATTATTCGAATATCGAAGTTTGTTCTCAGTTCGTTTTTTTGTGTGTGTTCGTTTTACTCGAAAATCAGGCTTTTTTCGAGAAACATAAGATAGTAGTAATTTGTAAAAAATTGAAAGACGAATCCGAAAATATAATAAGATTGTCGCTGTAAAGCAGTGGCGTACTATTTTATTTCGAAAAATATGCCACCGATTCCTTATATCTCCGCCACTGGAGTATGTAAATTTTAGGAAAAGCCCTCAGATTTTGCGCAATGTTTACATAAATGCTTGTGCCCAATTTCAAATTATTTCACTAACTAATTTTTAAATTATTTAAAAAAATTAAAAATATTTCTTGAAGTTTAACACCCTGTGTATTTTTAACGAAGCATCCTAGATAAACACTTTATAGGAGAGACTCCCCTTAAAATTCACCAAAGAATACGAGGTTTCATTTGTGGTCATCATTTATGAATCACCCTGTATAATGTTAGAGACGACTTGTATAGAATTATCAACAGCCTACTTCAGATTAGCCGCTGCAGATAACAATTTTAAAACAAACAATCAACTGTGACGTCAACCAAAACAATAGGTAAGTCTCTACGCGTCAAAGTCAGCTAATAATGACAAACAGGCGACGGCAGTTTTACCGACAGACCGCCGCAACACATGTGGAAAATCTTAAAAATATGTCAGGTCGTCTCTGTTATTGCCTTTTTGAGACTCCGGAAGGTAAATGTAGACTTTACTTTCCTTAATTATAATTAATACCTAGTACATTTTCCAGCATGGATTCGAATCAGACATTGAAGCAAGGGTCATGCAAAACACAAAAGACTTACCTGGTGCTGACGAAGTCGAGACAGGACCCCCACATCACGTAGCCATCATCACCAGACCGGCCAATAAAAGCTTTCTGTGGTGCGGGGGCTCGATCGTTTCAAGAAAATTCATCCTCACCGCAGCCCATTGCCTGGAAAAGTAAGAAAAAGTCAGTAGCCTTCTCAACAGTACCCTAATATTTCAAATTTCAGCTCACAAGACGCTAGAATTAATTTATATCCCACGACAAACGATCAGTATAGTGTAAGGAGTAACAAATTCAAGATTCATCCAAAATGGCAGCCACAACTCCTTCAGAACGACATCGCCCTGATCGAACTGCCCCATCCTCTACGCCTACCGGATCTGAACCCCATCGAGTTATCTTTCAGCGCCAAGATCGCTTCTAAACTACCAGCGACCGTGTATGGGTGGGAAAAACAAGATCCTCGACCGATATGGGGCAGATACGATGTGGTTATTATAAGTAACAAAGACTGTGCTGTGTTTTACGGAGCTTTAATCACAAAGTATACCCTGTGCGCCAAAAGCGATGGGCAAGGAAACGGTTGCCACGGTTCCTCGGGTGGTGCGTTGGTGATAGACGGTCTACTGGTGGGTATCGTGTCTTTTGGGACCGACCATTGCGATTTGGGATATCCCGTGGTGTATACCAAAATCTCGCGATATAAAAAGTGGATTGAAAAGAATTTCGACATTTAATGTTCCAGTATTTCGGTGTTTGTAGTGGAAGGTTGTAATAAGTTGCACATTTAAAAAAATTAAATTGTTAACATTCTGCAGACGTTTTTTAGGCCAGGAAATATAGAGTTGGACGCGACTTTTTGTTTCGGCAAACTGAATTTATCACTATAGATGCTAAATATTATGTACAATAACGTTTCCACAGTCATAAAAATGGGGGGAAGATTGTTTACAGGGTGGTTAATTGTATAATTTTTACGTTTTTCGCTTATAACTTTTTTCCGTTCATTTCCACGAGAAAACAGTAACGTACTTTTTTTTTCGTCTTCAAAAGACCTACAAAACTAACCCTCGAGCGCCAAAAAATATTGATTAGATCAAAAGTTATAAACAGTTTATAACATATAAGTTATATTATTACCAAAACGTTTTGGTATCGCATCCTCTCATTCTTTATCTCTGTCTAATAACTCACACGAAATCTGGAATCGGTAAGATGAATAGTTTACAAGTTATGGCCTTACAAACAAATTAACTTATTATTAGTCTGGACGATCCCGAGGATCTTCCACAATCGCACTGATTTTTTTCATGGTAGACTTTATAATAATACATTGAAATTTATAATTTGTTTTTTAATTTCTTTGCAACCTGGAATTTTTTTTTATTTTTTAGCCTTAGTTGCAAAATGAAATATACGACGCACGAGCGTGACATAGTTATTTATTATTACATATTCGGAAAGCTTATGAAAAGAGCTTTAAGTTAAAAAAAATCGCCAAGATTCGTTGAAAAACAACGGAGCTACAGACTGTCAAATATATTATTTTCAAGCGAATTTCGCTTGTTTAACAGCACTACCACAGACAAAATAGTTATCGCCACAGACCGCTCTTGGAATAGGCCAGCAGTTTTAAATTTCCGAATTGCCGGTAGAGTACACCACCAGTAGAATTTTAGGAAGAATCAAATGCAGCGGCCCGCACACCTACCCGTATCCTAGCAACATATATACAAGACTTTGGTAATGTTGCCAGGCGTACTTACGGATTTCTTTTGTACACTTTTTTTTATCAATATCTGTTTTTTGCGTTACTGTATTTACTTCAATGTATGATGTAGGTATTGATAAAAATGTTTTTAAAGAATCAACGAATATCTATGTATGTATCATATGATATTCTGCAGTGGTGTTACAATTAAGTTATTTAATCATAATTTCGTTAATTAGCTACCTACTATTTTCATTTTTTGGTATTGAAATACTGCAGAAAATATATTTCCAAATAAACAAAATTCGTAATAATATTTTAAACAG